CGAACTCGGGCGCGTGCTCGAGGCCTCCAGAGGGCGCCGACGCCTGGGGTGCTCGCGGTGCCGGGCGCCGACGCCGGGGGTGCCCGCGGTGCCAGCGTAGGCCAGCCGCCCCGAGGGCCAGCTGGCCGCGCGACGCACGACGAGGCCTCCGCGGCGCCAGGCCGGCCGCCGCGGAGGCCAGCAGCGCAGCGCAGACGCACCAGAGGGCGCCGCGCAGCCAGCAGCTGTGTCTCGCCGTGGAGCGTTCCGGGTGTGCCCGGAGCGTCCCGGGCGGCCGCCGGAGAGCCGGAGCTGCATACATGGCCTGCGCAGGCCCGCGGCGCCCTGGCGGCCGCCGCGCGCGAAGGGCGAGAGCGGCCACGGCCGCGGCCACGGCCACGGCCACGGCCACGGCCACGGCCACGGCCACGGCCACGGCCACGGCCACGGCAACGGCCACGGCCGCTGTGCGGCGTTCCCGGGTCAGCGGAACGTTTCCGCAAGCGCGGCTCGCGCGGCTCGCCCGGCAGGCGGAGGCGGCCAGAGTGAGGGGCGAGGAGCGATCAGGGCCCTCTGAACGGGGGACTTGGATTCCGGGTCGGAACGCTCTGCACTCTTCGTCCCGTCGGGGCGGGTGCTCAAAGCACTGGTCAGCAATGTCCTGGTCGAGGGGGCCGGAGAGGAGTGGGGCAGGTGTGGGTGTTTTTGTTGACTGCGCTGAGTTTTCGCTTCGCTGAGCCTTGCTGGGCTGACATGTCCTTTGGGAGCACACGAGGTGACAGGCCGCAGGAGGCTCCCGAGTTGCAACGGACGTGGCTTCGCAGTAAACTCGGGGACATGAGCATGACCATGAAACTATGTTCGCAACCGCCACCTCGCGCATCATAGTATACATTATACATATAACGGGGGACCAGGTCCGGGGGCCGGGGGCCGGCGCCCCGACCGCAAATGTAGGGCCCGGGCGTCATTTTCCGTATGTTTTTACATGTTTACAAGGTTTCGGCGGCCCAGGGCCAGCAGGGCCCCAAGAGGTTGCAGGGAGGCCCCAGGAGGCCGCAGCGATGGCTCCAGACGCCTTTCAAGACGACTCCCATGACGCCAAGAAGGCCCCCGAAGACGCCCCAAGAGGCACCCCGAGAGAGACCCAATAAGCAAAAATCGTCGACTTCCGATTGGGAAACTGATATTTTTGGCGTGTTCGCCTTTTGGGCTTCCACTGCGTCCAAGACGGCCCAAGAGGTTCCTAAGACTGCCCCACACGCTCCCAAGAGGGCTCCAAGACGACCCCAAGGGGGTCCCAAGACGGCCCGAGAGGCCCCCAAGACAGCCCAAGAGAGCCCCAGGACGAGCACCAGAGAGGCCCCAGAGGTGCGCAATCATATTCAAATTCCGAGCTTTCGGCCCCAGAGGCTCCCAGGAGGCCCCAAGAGGTCCCCAGGAGGCCCCAAGAGGCCCCCCAGATGCCCCAAGAGGCTCCCAAGAGACCCCCAGGAGGCTCCCAAGAGGCACCCCAATAGAGCCCCAAATAAGCAAACATCGTCGATTTCGCACAGGGAAACTGATATTTTTGGCGTGTTCGATTTTCGGGCTTCCACTGCGTCAAAGACGGCCCCAGAGGCACCCAAGATGGTCGAGGATGCCCCCAAGAGGGCTCCAAGACGGCCCACGAGGGGGCCAAGACGGCCCACGAGACGCCTAAATCGCTGAACAACGCCCCGAGTCGGCGCCCAAGACGGGGACGAGGAACCGAAAATGCAAGCCATTTGGCTTAGGAGGCCCCCAGGAGACCCCAGGGGGCCCAAAGAAGCGCCCAAGAAGCCCCGAGGGGTCCCTAAGAGACCCGCAAACATACAAGAAGAGTCCCCGAACACGCCCCAAGGGGCACTCCAATAGTGCCCCAATAAGCAAAATCGTCGACTTCCTCTGGGGAAATACATATTTTTGGCGTGTTCGCCTTTTGGGCCTCCACTGCGTCCAAGACGGCCCAAGAGGCAAGGGACCCCGAGAGAGGTCCGAGAGGCGTCCTGGGACGGCCCGAAGAGGCCAACATCGTCGATGATCATTTTTTTTTTTTTTTTTTTTGTTTTTGGCTTCTTGCGTGTTCAGATCAGTTCCGTCATGATTCGGATGCGAAGGGCGACTTTATCCACAACGCTATAGAGCACAACGCAACTCATCGCGGCATGACACATTTTCAACTTTGCACAGCACAGCGCAGCACAACCCTTGCTACGGTACATCACGACCGATATTCTCTCCATTGCAAATGTCCGTCGCCCAATCAGGTGTCTTGAAAAGGTTGCCGCGCCTCGCGTTGCTAAATTCCTTTCTGGGTTCGTGGGCCGATCGTATTGTGTTTTTGTTCCAGGAAAGGGCATGAGCTCAGGGTTCTCTTTTAGTTGGTAAATTTGTCCCCGGTGCCATGTTGGGGAAGGGCCGACATATTAATGAGTGATAAATGACGGGGTCGCGTAGGACCGGGGGACAGTTAGAGGATTTCTCGAGCGAAACACTGTTTTTTGAAACTCCGATCCATAAACACCTGGTGAAGTATACATTTTCGTTTGTTGCGGATGTCTCGAGCAAGACGCTCGTTTTGCAGAATTTGTTGAACATGTCCCGAGCAAAACCTTTTTTTCTGCCCTATCGATTGTTCTTCTCCTGGGGGCCAGAATTCAGAGGATGTCTGAAGCAGAGTGTTCATATTCATTTCAACGTCTCACGTTCGCGAACAGACCCCGAATAGTCTACACTAGAACCACGCGCGCGCTTCGCGCGCGCTTAGGTTCTAGCGTGTCACAGACACAGGAATCGCTGTGCGAAAAAATGCTTGGAGTTTGTCTCAGACAAGTGAGGACTCCAGTGGCAACACCTGCTTGAGGCACCGCCGGGGACGGACCCTGTGTAGAGTGTGGTCGACCCTCTTGGGCGCGCCCTGGGGCTCTCTTGGGACGTTTAGGGGGCCCATTGAGGGGCTGTTTCGGCGCCTCTTTTGGTGTTTTTTCTTGTCTTTTGGGGGCCTCTGGGGGCTTCTTGGGCGCTTGTTGAAGCCTCTTGGGGTCTCCTGGGGGCCTCCTAAGCCAAAACGCTCGAATATTTGGTTCCTCGTACCCGTCTTGGGCGCCGACTCGGGGCGTTCTTGGGCGGTTTAGGCGCCTCGGGAGCCGTCTTGGCCCCCTCGTGGGCCGTTTTTTTGGGCCGTCTTGGACGCAGTGCGCGCGATGGTTCTAGATAGGCTTTATCGGCTAACTCATGTCATCTCATATTGGTCGCGTCTTGCGTCCAGGGGCTTCCTTGGAGGCCCTGCGCAAGCCTCGGAATCGTACAGAAGGGGAAACGTGGAAACACAGAAAACATGAATTTCCTTGGGGTATTCAACGATTTGGGGCCCTCGAAGGATTCCTGTGTTCTTTCTTGGGAGGTGAGGGGGGTGTGAATGGTGGTCTGTTGTGCAAGAGTAGAACGGGGGCCAACTTGAAAAAAATAGGAATTGTGGGATTTCAATGTTTTTCCAGTTCCTCGGCGCTGTTCGGCGCTATTTGTTGTTTGTGCCTCGCGGGTTTTATTAGCCGGGCCCCTCAGGGGTGTGGAATCTTCCGGGCCCCCTGGGGGTTCTGGAGGCCTCCTGGAGGCCTGGAGAGCCGTCGGAAAGGTGTCGCCGGCTGCGCGAGAGCGTGTTGGGCCGTTCTTTACGTTCTGGGGGCTCCTTGGGGTAGTCATGGGCTGTCCTTCGGCGACTTGTGGTCTCCCCCCGGGAAGCCGGGAGGCGCGGTACTGGCCATATGTCAGGGGATGTGTAGGACCCCCGAGTAGGAGTCCCACTTTGAAATAAAGGGGGGATTCTGGGAATTCCTTTGTTTTTGTGTCAAAATCTTAGATCTTCGAGGGTTGGAAGCGGGAAAACGTGAGAAGGCGAAAAACATTATAAAAACCATGGGACATCAACGAGTTTACCCTCTTGGGGCTCTCTCGGGACGGCTCTCGCAGCTCTCTTGGGCTGTTCTTGGAGCCTCGTCGGGATCTCTTTTGGGGGCCTCTCAGGGATCGGGGGTGGGTTGGGGGCCTCTGGGTGGTCCCGGAGGCCTCTCGGAGGTCTCTGGAAGCCTCCTGCTCCCGCTCTTGGGCCCATCTTGGGCATGTTCTGGGGTGGTCTGGGGCTGTCTTGGGCGCCTCTTCGGCAGTCTCGGAGCCCTCTTGGCCCGTCTTGGGGCCGTCCTGAGAGTCTCTAGGGTGGTCTTCGGGCGGTCTTAGAAGCCTCTTAGAAGATCGGGCGGAGGCCCGCATACCTTAGTGTCTACAGGTTGTACGGCTCCTATGAACAGCCCATGGGAGCTCTGAATGCCGCGGCGCTTGGGTGTCCCACGGGGGAGGCGACGGGGAAAGATCGCTTCCCGGGGTGAGGGGGAACCGCCAAGCATCATACCCAGAGATAGGCGTGCAGCTTCCAATTTCGAGCCCTTTGCTGGGCAGCGGACTGCTGCAAGCAGAGCGGTACATCAGAAAGTGAAAAGGAGTCTAGGGACGTCTGGACGAGGACCTCGAATTAGAGGCCTGAGGAGAGACGACGATAGTGATCTCATGGATAGGGGAGGGAGGGCGAAGCTTGCCGCGTCGAGCTCGACAGCAAGCCCGTTAGTGTAGGCACGTTGCCTCAGTATGCCTGCATGCTTTTTCATGCGTTCAGGGTCCCAGGAGAGTGACCCTAGACATGGGAAGGTGAACCATGCCGATAGTGCTTCACGCTAACCGCCGCCTCCAGTGCTGGCGTGTTGCCTTGTACTTCCACGACCATGCGCCTGGGCCAGACACGAGTGAGAACTGCCCACGGAGCAAAGTGCAGTGACAAGTGTCCACATGACGCACACGCAGAACCGAACCGCTCATGAGAATGGTGCCAACATGTCAAGATGTTGATGCCAAGCAGTGGGCGACCATGCTCCACAGCCACTTTGGCTCAAGAGTTGTGGTCGTCACGACTGGCTTCTTCTTTCTCGCAATCTGGTGGCAGAGCCTACGCAATGCAGTGGCAGGACGCATGCGTGGCCGCGGCGGCTGGCACGGCCGATGCCTGCGCTGGCCCGCTGGCTCCGACTCTGAAGGTGGCGGCGTCGTCGAAGGCCCCAGCGTCGCCCTTCTTAATGGAGCCAGTTGTCGAGCATCCCCTTCCATTCACGGGAGAGACGCCCACCAATGTGTCGCCGCAGTTCGTTTGCAGCATGCTGGGCGGGGATTTCTCTTTCATGTGCACCGCGAGGATGGACAGCGTCGGCCCTTGGAGCCGCATATTCGACTTCTCCTTCACCGCGGACGAGGACAGCATCACAGCGGGGGCCATCGAGCTCACTCAAGACTTCCACTTCACTGTCTTTCGGGGCAAGAAGCCGATCAGCGTGCGCGTGGGTGATTTCTTTCAGCTCGGAGAGGAGTTCACCGTGCTGTGCACGGTTTCGGCCTCTGGGCACATGAAGGTGTTCAAGGACGGCGTGCTTGTGGGTGAGAAAACGGATGGCATGGCGCCACTTCATGCTGACAGGCCGCATATGATGGTCGGCGGTCATTACTTGTTCCCTGATCAATCCTTCCGGGGTAGCTTGAAAGACGTGAAGGTTTGGAACCTAGAAGTCCCTTGGGAGGCGTCGTCAGTGTCGAAGGTGGCCGTGAGTGTCTTGGGCGAAGTGATCTCGGAGCAGGCCGAGAAATCGCCCAGATCGGAGTCGGACGGCAGGCTCCGTGGTGCCCGCGATGCGGTGGATCCGACGAGCGAGAGCGACGGGGACGCGGAGCTCTCAGATCCGGAGGCCGAGACGCTTCTCTCGAGGGGCGACGAAGAATTTGCTCGTCTGTTCGGTGTAGGTGCCGTACGTGTCGAGGGCAGCGGGGGCATTCCCCTTGCGACCGCCTAGGGGACCTGTGTCTGGGCAGGATGGTCCAAGATCGATGTGGGGATTCTTCGACGTTGTCCGCCCTTTCGGCTATCCTGACGTGTTGCCGTGTCGGCACACGTCAGTGTCACACGGCCGAGTCCTTGGGGGATGGTTTCAGGGTGGGGTGGAGGGGGATGTTCTGAGGATGAAGCACGTCCCCACACATGCATATAGTAGGTATGCGCAGGGTTCCATGCTGGAAACTGTTGATTTGTTAGTTTAATTAGCTGCCGATTCTCATTTTGCCAATTGTCATTTTGAACAGACATCGCTGAACATTGGTCGGCTGATGTCCATTGCCGATCTTCGGTGGCGGGGCACGGAGTAGAACATGTTCCGCCGAAGGACCTGCATCGGGTCATTTGACTGAAACTCTCCGCGGTATCCTCGCACACCTTGGCTAGTGTAGGAAGCTATGTTGTCGTTGCGGTCTTGCGCGGCAGCACCCGTTCCGAATTCTGGTGCCATCCAAATATGATTGGTCTGGCATGTTGAGGTCATGCATGAGAAGCCTTTGAATTAGATATGCTGAGACGTACTGGCAGTGTTGCGTTTGGTGACGTGCCTCTTGTTCTGACGGCTCGCGCTGTAAAACAAGTATCTTGGCGAAGGACCCAGACATATGCAGTTGTGAGTACTGGTTTGTGGGTACTGTTTTCGATGGAGCTCCCCATGGGGCCACGAGGCGTGTGAGGGGTGAGCCGGAATAGGCGCGATGGCGCATGCGGTCCCTGCCACCAGGGCCTTCTGTGCAGCTCCCTGTGGGGCCACGTCACGTGTGAGGGGTGTGCCGAAAAAGGCGCGACGCCCACATGCCAACGGTGCCCCTGGGGCCTTCGGTTGAGCTCCTTATGGGGCCACGAAGCGTGGGAGGGGTGTACCGAAATTGGTGCGACGCCCACATGCGAACTGTGCCTTTGAGGCCTTCGGTAGAGTTCCCTATGGGGCCACGAAACGTGTGAGGGATGTGCACAAACAGACGTGACGCCCACATGCGAACGGTGCCCCGCCTTCGGTGGATATCCTTGTGGGCTCACGAAACGTGTGAGAGGTGCGCCGAAACGGGCGTGACGCCACGGCGGCACTCGATGGAGCTCTTTATGGGGCCACGAAGCGTCCCAGGGGTGTGCCGACATGGTCAGAGGCAGGGATGGGAGTAGGGAGGAGGGGGAGGAGGAGGGAGGAGTGAGGAACGCGGGGCGTTGCCTCTTCAGAACGAGGACCCACATGCACAGAATGATTGGGAAAAAGTACCGGAGAACCATATGAGTGATCGAGTCGGCGAAAACCGATGTCAATTGCGAATGCACCCCATCTTTGGGGAGAGGCGAGGTAAGATTATGAAAGATCCCTGTCCTCCCGAATCCCAATTGAACCAAAACGGAAGAAGACAACTAATGACCAGGCCGACCGTAGCTCGGGGGTTTTACCCAGGACCCTCCTCCTGAAACGGCGGGAATGACCACGCACAAAATCTCCGATGACATCCCTGTCCCTCATGAAGCCTATACACTTAGTGTTTCTGTGTTGGCTAGCATCGGCAGCAAGGCAAGTGCATAGGCAAGGGAATATCCCGAGGAAGTGGCTCACGGGGTTGCAAACAACGCGGATGTGTGCGAGCGACGACATGACTCCCATGGGGGGCTGAACGTGCCAGCCTGGCAGCAATCCAAACTATTTGGGGAAATTGCCTTGCAGCCCGTGGAGAAAGGAAACTACGGCCAGTGTCGTACGTATAACAGTTCACACTCGGGGAAACGGATGTCGCCAAATGTGGAAGATCACAGCATCATAAGTGCAATGAAGTGTTATTCTTGTGGATGCAACCTACGGCTTCTGGCTCATGAGTTTATCCTGCAATCGACGGAGGAGGCGACTAAGCTCCTCCATGCTCTGATCGTTAGTGGATCAATGTGAAGCTTCGGCGCGGGATTGAGAATTGAAACTTTGAAGCATGTTGAATATTACCCTGGCGAAGGACCCAACCATATGCAGTTGTGGGCACCGCACTTGTGAATATCTTCTTCGGTGAAGCTCCGTATGGGGCCACGAAGCGATGCACTGGGTGGGGGGGAGCGCATGCGGGCGGTAGCACTGGGGCCGTCGGTGGAGCTCCCTATGGGGCCACGAAACGCTGTACTGGGCGGGTGAAAATGCCAAATTGGGCTTCTGGGGCGCACGCGGACGGTCCCACTGGGGGCTTCGGTGGAGCTCCTTATGGGCCACGGAACGCTGTACTGGGTGGGTGAAAATGCCAAATTGGGCTTCTGGGACGCACGCGGACGCTCCCACTGGGGCTTCGGTGGAGCTCCCTGGGGGGCCACGAAACGTCTGGGTGGGTGGAAAATGCCAAATTGGGCTTCCGGGACGCCTGCGGACGGTCCCATTGGGGGCTTCTGTGGAGCTCATAATGGGGCCACAAAGCGTTGTTATGGGTGGACGAAACTACCAAATTGGGTGTGCGGGACGCATGCGGGCGATCCTTTTAGGGGCTTCGGTGGAGCTTCCTATGTGGCCACGAAGCGTTATGCTGGGTGGGTGAAACTGCCCAAATTGGATGTGTGGGACGTGTGCGGACGGTCCCACTGGGGGCTCCAGTGGAGCACCTTATTGGGGCCACGAAGCGTTGTATTGGGCGCGTGAAAATGTCAAATTGCGCGTGCGGGGCGCATGTGGGCGGTCCCATTGGGGGCTTCGGTGGAGCTCCCCGTGAGGCCACGAAACGCTTGTCTGGGTGTACGAAAATGCCAAATTGGGCTTCCGGGACGCATGCGGGCGGTCCCACTGGCCACGAAACGTTGTACTCGGTGTGGCGGACGCATGTGGCCACCACTACTGGAGACTCCGATGGAGCTCCCTGTGGGGCCACGAAACGCTGTACTGGGTGTGGCGGGCGCATGTGGCCACCCCCACTGGGGCCTTCGGTGGAGCTCCCTATGGAGCCACGAAGCGCTGTATTTTGTGTGGCGGACGCATGTGGTCACCCCCATTGTGGCCTTGGGTGGGGCCCCCTCAGGGGGCCACGAAACGCTGTACTGGATGTGGCGGACGCATGTGACCACCCCCACTGGGGCCTTGGGTGGGGCTCCTTATGGGGCCACCAAACGCTGTACTGGGTGTGGCGGACGCATGTGGTACTCCCACTGGGGCCCTGGGTAGGGCTCCCTATGGGGGCCACGAAACGCTGTACTGGGTGTGGCGGACGCACGTGGTGCCCCCACTGGGGCTTCACCTGGAGCTCCCAATGGGGCCACGAAGCGTTGTACTGGGCGTGGCGAACGCATGTGGTACCCCTACTGGGGGGGTGGGGGCACGAGAGCAGGAGACGCGGGGACCGTTTCTTCAAAACGAGGACCCATTACCACAGGATGGTTGGGAACAAAACAGTCGGATTGAACACTTACAAATTGAAATTTTGAAAACTGACAATCTCAATCCCGGTATTGCGGATTCTTAATTGAACGATTGAATGTGATCGATTTTGCGATCGAGGATAGGAACATTGAGACATTGTAGGGGAGCTATTTCTTCAATGATTCAACTTTTTCAATCGGAGGAGATCTGGATTGATATGTGTAGCGCTTCGGTGTTCAATGCCGGCGCACTCCTACTGCAGGTATTTTTTTGGGGCGGGTCGGGGAAGAACGGCGAGCCTGGCGAGAGGGACATTCAAGTACACAGTTCTCCCACGGAACGCCCACCGACGCGAAGCCGATCGGGTGGGCGGGGCATTGAAGTGAAGGATTTTGCCGCGTGCGGACAGGCGACGTAGAGCTGATTAGCGACACGTGGCATGTCGTGTCGGGCCTCTCTCTGGCGCGGTCGGGCGAGGCGGAGCGAACGGCTCAGGGCGAGCCGGGTGGGCGGGACATTCAAGTTCGGGGCTCTCCTAAAGCAGGGCCCACGGGGCTGTGCGCGTCGGGCGGGCGCGACAGTCAGGCGCAGGGCCCTCGCGAGCGTGGCCAGGCGGGGCGGGTTCGCCGCACGAGGCGGGTCGGTCGAGCGGGACAGTAAGGTTAGGTCGGGCCTGTCCCCCTCCAGGGGGATTTTCGACTAATAATACAAAGTACCCCCAAAATAATCATAAAATAGTCCCAGAATGGTCTGGGGACTGAGTACTTTTTAACCCTTTTGGGGTATTTTTGGTGTATTTTTTATGTTTCGCCGAAAATCCCTCTGTATGGGGGACAGGCCCGACATAACATTAAGGTGCAGGGCTCTCTCGGGCGTGGCCGGTGGAGCGGGTCCAACGAACGAGGCGGGTCGGCAGGGCGACGTTCCAAGTGTAGAGCGCTATCATACGCGGCCGGGCAGAGGCGGACGGATCGGGCGGGCGGGGCATTCAAGTGTGGAGCGATCGTGTATGTTGTCAGGCAGAGTCTGATCCCGGGGGCGCGGCGGGTCGGGCGGGCGGGGCAACAAAAGGCAGGGCTCTCTCGAGCGTGGCCGGGTGGGCTGGGGCCAACTCACGCGACAGCAGCGTTCCAGTGGTGTTCCCTCGTTGGTCGTTCGCCTGCCCTCTCGCGATTCCATTGGTGCTCCCTCCCTCTTCGTGCTCCCTCGCTCTAGCGATTCCAGTGGTGCGCTATCACCCCTCTTGCCCCCTTCCGCTCGCGAGTCCAGTAGTGCTTCCTCCCTCCTCGTGCCGTCGCTTCCCCCCCGCCCCTCATGGCCCCCACATTCTCGCGATTGCAGTGGTGCTCTCTCCCTCCTCGTGCTCTCGCCCTCTCTCGATTCCAGTTGTGCTCCCTCCCTCGGTCCTCGTGCCCACTCCCTCCCGCAATTCCAGCAGTGATCCCTCCCTCCTCGTGCCCCTCCTTCTCGCGATTTCTGTGGTGCTCCTTCCCCCTCCCTCGTGCCTGCTCCCTCTCGCGATTCCAGTGGTGTTTCGTCGTGCTCGTGTTCCAGTGGTGCTGGTGCTCCCTCCCTTCCCGTGCTCCTTGGCTCTCGCGATTGCAGTTGTGCTCCGCCGCTTTTGAGGCGATCCCAGGGAAGGTCTCGAGAGTTTTGAAGCCGCGCGTTGGGGAGGGACATCGATCGCGCCTGAGGTCTGGGCCCGTACTCCCGCCGCGGGATCGTGGAACCTTGCACGGCCCCCCAGAAAGACTCGGGCGCGCCAAAACCAGTTCGCCCCCATGTGATTTCTTCTGTCCCCAAATCGGCTTCCGTCCTCCTTCCTTGTTACTTCCTCCTGTGTTATTATTTAGTATGAGTCCTCAGTATGAGTACCACTCTCCTGTCTCTCCTGAGAGTGTGCGCAAGGTGCCCAGTCCCCATTTGTAAAAATACGGCACAAAAGGGACCAGCAAGACGGTCCAAGGGGGTCCCCGGACGGCCCGAGAGGGCCCCCAGACGGCCCCCAAGAGCCAGACGGCCCGACAGAGCGTTCAAATGTTTTCCACGAAGGCACGGAGAGGCCATGCGCGTTGATTTTCGGAAGATGTTGCCCACGTATGTCAACAAAGCGTTTGCGCGCCCTCACAGAAAGCAACTGCGCGCTCCGTCGACATGCCAAGCATGGCTTTGGTGCCCCTCCAAGAAATATCGAGAGGCTTTCTCAGATAACCCGAGACGGTCCAAGATGGCTTACAAGACGGCTCAAAAGGGATCAAAGGGCCTCCACTGTTGCCGAATAGCGTTCAAAGACGGCCCCATACGACGTCAAGACGGCTTAAGAGGCTCCCAAAGACACCCAAATATGCCCCCACGAGGACACCCGAGATGGCGTGAGGATGCACAACGCATTGATGCTCATGTAGTGTTTGTTTGTGTGTTGGGTTCTCGCATTTTCGGGCAAACAGCGGCCCAAGGCGGCTCTGACGGCTTTCGAGTTAGCGCCAAGACGTCCCAAGAGGCCCCCAGGAGGGTTTCAAGACGGCCCATGGGGCCCGAGAGAACGCCAAGGCGGCCCAAGAAGGTCCTCACACGGCCCAAGAGCATCCCACGACGGCCCAAGATGGCCCGAAGACGGCCCACGAGGGTCCAAAGAGGTTCCCTACTGAACCCCAGATAAGGCCCCAGGAGGCCCCCAGAGAACCCGACGACGGCCACAGCCCAGCCCCAGGACGGCTTACAAGAAGAAGCGACCACTGCCCAAACGGGCCCCCGAATGCACCCCCTCGGAGGTACAGAGAGGCCACACGTGCTTCTTCCTGGGGCCTCCAGGGGACTTGCAATCGGCCTCCGATACCCACATCGTTCGTTCAAAACGTCCATGCGCAAGATGAGGAGGAGGAGGAGGAGGAGGAGGAGGAGGAGGAGGAGGAGGAGGAGGAGGAGGAGGAGGAGAGAGGAGAGAGAGAGAGCGAGGAGGAGGAGGAGAAGGAGGAGGAGGAGGAGCGAGGAGAACCAGACGGAGGGGCAAGGAGGAGGAGAGGCAAGGAGGAGGAGGATGAAGAGGAGGGGGAGGAGGAGAGAGAAGGCGGAGGAGGCGAAGGATGATGCTTATGAGGAAGAGGAGGAACGAAAAGGAGCGAGGAGGAGGGGCGAGGATGAGATGAAGGAGGGGGAGGAAGCGGAGGAGGGAGAGGGGGGACCGACAGGCTAGGTGCGCTCGCGTCATATCTGACGTCCTACCCCTCCCTCCCATCCCTTACCATGGCGTAGATCTCTTGTTTATTCGCACAGTCGGATGTCGTAGCAGGGCATCGCATTGCATGGCATATCATGGTATGGAAGATCAACGCGTAGTCTGACATAGCATGGCGTGGCGACGCCCCAAAGTCGGGGGGGGGGGGTCTTCAGCGGCCCAAAGAATCAACGAACCGACACCGAATATGGAATCATTTCCGATGGTTGTTTCGGCGGGGGGCATTTTCTAGCTTTTGGGGCCTATTCGGAAGGACTGAACACCATGCCGTGGCATGGCGCTGGAAATAATGACGCCAGCGCTGCAGCGGGAGCACGATTCGGAACGAGCGGAAGCGCGGAAATGAGGCCAGCGCTGCATCGGGAGCACGACTCGGAACGGGCGGTAGCCTGAAGATGAAGTCAGCGCTTCAGCGAGAGCAGCATTTCGAAGAAAAACCCAAACGAAAACCCAACTCCTGGGAATAATGTGTGCAAAATAACCAGTACGCGGAGGGGGGGCGAGTATTTCCCGGACGTCGCCAGGGATGAAAGGAGATTAGCATTCATAGTTGTGGAGGAGCGAGGACGAGGACGAGGAGGAGGAGGACCAGTGTAAGCCCAAGAGTCATCAACGATTTTGGAAAGAACCCTCTCTCCTCCAAGCTTCCTCTTCATGGGCCCCATAAAGCGGTTCATTTCCAATGAGGGAACTGCCTCGTTGGAAGAGAACCGTTTGCAGACCCTGAAGCATGCCAGAACAGTGCTCTCGGGACTTCAACGCCAGGGATCAGCCGGCCTGCTGCGTCTTGACGATCTAGAATCGTGCCAGAAACCCGTTTCTGGGAGTTCAACACCGCGAATCAACATAAATGTTGCACCCGCATGATCCATAATCTTTTCAAAACACCATTTCTGCTACGTTGATCATGGGAATCCGCCGTGCAACCTTCCCACATGCTCTAAACGAATGCGCGCGGCGCTAAGGCGAGAGCCACATTTTGAAAACGACCCGCACTCAATCCGTGAAGCCCTTTCAAATGTTAAAAATGTGCGCGGCGCTAAGGCGAGAGCCACATTTTGAAAAAGGAGCCGCCCTCCATCCGTGAAAGTTCTTGCACATGTCCTAAACCAATGTGCGCGGCTCTAAAGCGAGAGCCACAGTTTGAAAACGACCCTCGCTCAACCCTTGAAGCTCCTGCAAATTTGGCAAACGGATGTTCGCGGCGCTAAGGCGAGAGCCACATTTTGAAAACGACCCGCCCTCAATCCGCGAAGCCCTTTCAAATGTTGAAAGGACTGCGCGGCGCTAAGGCGAGAGCGACATTTCGAAAACGTCCCGCCTTGATTCCGTGAAACTTTTGTACGCGTTCTAAACGAATGTGCGCGGCGCTAAGGCGAGAGCCACATTTTGAAAACGACCCGCCCTCAATCCGTGAAGCCCTTGCAATGTTTAATACGAACGTGCGCGTCGCTAAGGCGAGAGCCACATTTTGAAAGCGACCCGCCCTCCATCTGTGAGATTGGTGTCACGGTTTAAGCTTCAGGGTCATAAATGGTGAGAAAGTCTAAGGCGAAACGCCCAGCCCGTCCTAAAAACTGGCCTCGGGGTGCAACAGGGAAGAGATATTTACAAGAAGAAGGAGTGGAGGAAAAAAAGAACAAGAAGAGGAGTGAGGAGCGAGGGGGAGGAAGAGGAGTAGGAGGAATGAAGAGCAAGGCGCGAGGATGATGAGGAAAGGAGGAGCGAGGAGCGAGGAGCGAGGATCAAGAGAGATAAGACTGATGATGCTGATGTGTATGGTTTGGAATGGTGATGACGATGATGCTGATGCTGATGCTGATGTCGATGACACCGTTGGTGATGAGGAGGTGGATGTGTGTTATGAGTAGGATGGGTCTGGTGATGATGATGCTGAAGCTAATGCTGATGATGATACTGATGGTAATGATGAATATGATGATGCTGGTGATGATGACGATGATGATGTGTATGATGATGAGAATGGCGGGGATGAAGAGATTGAGGACGAAGATTGGGATGATGACGAGTATGACGATGGTGATGGTGATGATGATGATGCTGATGATGTTGCGGATGCTGATGCCGATGCTGATGGTTATCGTGATGATGACGATGGCGATGATGATGATGATACTGGTGCTGCTGATGTTGACAGTGTTGATGATGATGCTGATGATGTTTGTTATTATGCTGGTGGTGATGCTGATGATATGATGATGGTGATAATGATGATGATGATGATGTGTCGATTGTCGATGATGCTGCTGCTGATGATGATGTTGATGGTGATTATGCTGCTTGTGATGATGTTGATCATCATGATGCTAAGTGTGGTGTTACTGATGATGATGATGATGATGATGGCAGTGGTCAATGTGTTTATGATGATGGTGGTGATGATGATGAAGGTGATTGTGATGCTGATGGTGATGATGCTCCTGATGATGGTGATGATGCCGACGCTACTGATGAGAACAACGCTGCTGCTGATGATGACGATGACGATGACGATTTTGGTGATGGTGATGCCGATCCTGGTGCTGTACATGGCGATGATGATGCTGATGACCTTGCTGATGATGCTGATGGGGATGATGGTGGTTGTTGTGATGAGGGATGCTGGTGATGATGATGCTGATGCTGCTGACGATGCTGCTGCTGATGATGATGCTGATGCTGATGCGGATGATGATGGTGTTGATGCTGCTGATGCTGATGTTAATGACGATGCGGATGATGACGATGATGAGGATGCTGATGCTGATGCCGACCACGATGAGGATGATGATAATGGTGCTGCTAATGATGACGCTAATGATGATGATGATGATGATGATGATGATGATGATGATGATGATGATGATGATGATGATGATGCTGGTGATCTTGATGGTGGTGGTGGTGGTGTTCTGTGGTCGTGGTCGTGGCAGTGGTGGTGGTGGTGAGGAGGAGGAGGAGGAGGAGGAGGAGGAGGAGGAGAAGGAGGAATAGGAAGAGGAGCAGGAGAAGTACCGAGGAGGAGCAGCTAGGAAGAGGAGCGAGGAGCGAGGAAGAGGAGGCGGACGAGACGGAGGAGGAGGAGGAGGAGGAGGAGGAGCGAGGGGGAGGAGCGATCAGCAGCGGGGGGGACGGAGGAGGCGGAGCGAGGGACGAGGAGGAGGAGGAGGAGGAGGAGACGGAGGAGGAGGAGGAGGAGGAGAAGGAGGAGAAGGAGGAGGAGCGAGGAGGAGGAGGAGGAGGAGGAGGAGGACGAGGAGGAAGAGCGAGGAGCGTGGATCGAGGACCGAGGAGGAGGATGCGAAGGAGGGGTGAGGAGCGAGGAGGAGCGATGAGCGAGGAGGAAGAGCCCCAAGACGGCCCAAGGGGGCCCGAAGTGGCTCCCGAGAGAGGCCCAAGAGGCCCCCGAGAGAGTTCCAATACGGCGAACGCCCGGCGTGTGAGGATGTCCGCCGTGCGGGACGGTGGACATCCTCTCACAACTGATAGGTGGTTGTTTTCTTGTTGGTGTCGCTCTTGCCCAGCATGGGCATGCTACTCGGGACATGTTCAAACAAGCACCTGTTGTCGACATCTTTTTTAGAATCTCTCTTGGAAGGCGTCTGGATGGTTCCACAGAGGTCAACAGGACGGACTGAAATGGCCCCTAGCTGGCCCAAGACTGCCCCAAGCTTGTCTCTAAGTGGGCCCAAGACGGTCCATGATGAATTTCACATGCACATGCCATTCGGGACACATCCCCAATCACGTGATGTTCTCAAATGCGATTGAGCACCGCTCTTGGAAAGCTTGACGAAGGCCAACGAGACGGGCCAAAAGGGCCCCAAGATGGCTCACAGATGGTCTCCAAGATTGACCAGCACGGTTCAAGATTGTTTCCAAGACGGCTCAAGAGGATCCAACAGGCCCTGAGACAGCCCATGGGGCCCCCGAGGCGGCCCAAGTTGGTGTTTGAGACGGCCCAAGTGGTTCCAACAAGCCCCAAGAGGGCTCCAAGAGCTTCCCCGAGACGGCCACACGAGGCACATATCACATATTTGTTCAATAGCGTTCTCGCATCCTCAAGCTCAGGAAGCCGCCGAGGTCGCTCCAAGGCGGCCTGAGAGATGCTCCCAAGAGTGCCCCGAGAGGGCTCGAGAGGGTCCGACGATGACCCGAGATTCTCGTCAGACGGCCCAAGACAGACCCAAGACTTCCCAAGGATGAGATACGGGCGAGGGGAAGACAGGACCGAAGAGGAGGAACACCAGACAAGCCAGCGATCTCGAGCCATCACGAAGTGAGTGCGCTTTCCGTCCCCGTGCCAAGTAGGTCGACTGGCCCTCGGCCCATCCCGCCACCGTGACCGAGTTGTGGGTCGTTGGCCCCCAGGATGTTCGTTGGTATGTCGCGGGAGGCTTCTCAAAGCCTTTGTGGAGGCATGTTTGAAGCTTTTTGGGGGCCGTTGTGCGGCTTCTTGGGGCGACTTGGGGACCTCCTGGGGGCCCTCTTGGGGCCTCTCGGGGGCCTCTTGGAGCCTCCTGGGGGCATCTTTGGACGGAAGGCTCGAATTGTCAGTTCGGGCTCCCGCTCTTGGACCCCTATTCGGGCCGTCGTGGTGCTCTTTTGGGCCGTCTTGGGCGCCTCTTGGGACCCTCTTGGGACCTCTTGGGTCGTTTTGGCGCCGTCTTGGGGGCCTCTGGGGCCGTCTTGGTGCGGTCTTGAGGGCCTCTTGGGATGTCTTGGAGCTACGGAAGCTCGAAAAGTCCAGGGGTTTTGGAGCGCTCCTGCGGCGTCGCGAAGACTTTTTGGGCCATCTTGGACACACCTTGAGCGTCTTGGACTCGTGTAGCCGTTCGGAGCATACTTGGACCGTCTGGGCGGGCTTATGGAGGTCTTTTGGCCCGTTTTGACTCTTGTGGCCCCGGGAAACTCATGCGCAGCCACTCTGTGGAGCCCAGGGGAATCGTGCCCAGCCCCATGAGACTTGATAGTTTGGGGTCCAGGCCCCTTACATCGGAAACTGGAACGTATATATTACCAGTGGCGGGCCGTTCCTCAATCCCAGGATTTTTTTGAGGGTCGGGGGCGACGTCGGGGTGGTGTCGTGTATACATGTTTCCCCGCCTCCCCGGGGAAACAACGCAAAATATATACACCAGGATCCCGTATACACCAGGATCCGCTTTCTTTGCGGATGTCAATGCGGGGCTGGGAAAAGCATCGGCGTATAGAGTTTGCCTCCTCATTACAGACTCCTCAGGAGTGAGGCCTGAGGCCCAGGGAATCGAACAAGAGACCCTAGAACGCAGCGCGCGCTCGAGCCATGCGGAGCTCGCCCCAGCCATCCCCGCCGCCGGCCACCCGCCGACCGCCGCCGCCCCTTGCAGACAAGTCGCTGCCCCTCGCAGGCGGACCCTCATGAGATCCGGAGTGGCAGAAGGAACACGACCGCAGCCCTCGACCCAGCCTTCCTTCGGCTTCTTTCCGAGCGGGATCGACCCGTGATGGTCCTGGGGCCCGACAGCCCGGGCGAACGCGCCCAGTGCGAAAGGAGATTGCACCTCCTGGGCCTCAGGGGATCGCTGTGCCGCGCCGGCCGCCCCACCCAAAAACGCCCAGGGTCCGGGTGCGCGCTGCATTGATGCGTCCCCTGACCATGCTCTGCTGCCAAACTACTGCTCGCTACCTGCCCGCTTTGCAGACCTGGCGAGCCCCCCTCATGCGCGCCGGTGCTATAGCCCAGAAGCTGACACAAGCACCGCTTTGGGTTCGGAAGGGGCTCGCTGTTCCTCAGGTCACTCCGTGGTTGTTCATCCATCCCTCCTCGTGCACCCAGGTTCTGCTGGTGCCAAAAAGGTGCCTCGTTCTTTACCTAGCGTTCCTTATTTCGGCAGCCCGACTAGGAGACTGTCCCCTTGAATTCAAAAAACAGGTCTCTTGAACAAGGGCGCCCTAGAGGGCGCGAAGTTGTTCGCGTTCCGCGCTCCGCGGTTCGGCTGCGGTTCCTCCTCGTCCTCCTCTTTTGCCTTGGGGGCGGCGCGAGAGCGCAAGGTTAGGCGCCCTTGAAGATCCACCTTGAGCCCCGTTTGGGGCTTCCCGTGGCCCTCCACGGACCCCAGGACCGTCAGAGAACGATTCGGGATGAAGAATTATTCGTGGGGGAGGGCCTCAGTGTCCAGGACCCGTTTCCCTCAGGCCCCGTCCCCCCCATGCGAATCCACCTCGAGCCCGCTCCCAGGCCTCCGAGGCCGTGCTCTTCCTGAGCCGCCAGCCCGTGGAGCTCTCGGCACCTGCCCCCTCGGGCCCTGCGCGCTCGACCCCGCGCAGCTTGCTGCCGGCTCCCGGGGCCCGCGGCCGGCCTCCCTCGGCCCCCGTCTGCGGGCACGTGCCGCCGCGAGGCTCTCGCGACGCCGCGTGCCTGGGTGCCTCCTCTGCCTCCTCGCCCCGCCCCGCCCCGCCACGGAGGGGATCGATGGGCAACGCCCTGCCCTCGACGCAGAAGATCGTGCACCGCGCTCGGTGGCGGGCGGAGCGGTGCCTCGAGCTTCCACGTCGTGGAGAATCACGGCCTGGCGAGAAGCTCACTGTCACGGAGGTGCCCTCGGCACCATCTCGCGGTTGCACTTCGCAGGCCAGGTCCGTCCTCGAGGGCCCTGGTGCCCGACGCCACGGCGAAAACGCCTGCCCTGAAGCCGTCTTCCACGACGCCAGAGTCTCGGGGCCGCCACGGGAAGTGGGGTGCGCTGCGGGGTGCACGCCGTCTCCTCTGGGCCTCGCGCGGGGGCTGCACCGAAGCGCGCGAAGGGTGGTGGGGGGAGCGAGGCGACGAGAGTCGCAGACTCGGGGGGGTGATCTTGCACCTTCTCGAGCAGGGGTATAAGTGGCAGCCTCTCAGTGCTCATTCGCCCAGGACTGAAGGCGGAGGACCCCCGGGACCTGAGGGCACTCCAGCTCGTGCCTCGACACCATCTCGCGGTTGAACTCAAGACTGGCTCCTCTCTGGTGGACTCGGGCAGCCGGCCGCCGCCCCGCCCCTTCGCAGGCGGACCGCACGCCGGCCCCGCCCCGCCCGGCCGCCGCGCGCCGCCCGCCCAGCCGCGGGCCGCCATCGGGCGCCGCCGCGCCGCCATCGTCGGAGGGCGCGCCGCAGGCCGAGCGGCCCGGCTGCGGGCCGGCGCGGCAGCGTCCAGCGTGCCCCCCTTGCTCTAAAACAGGGCCAGGATCGGGATAAATCGCTCTGAGTCAGGGCGGGAGGCCCTTCGACGTTTTCGCACGTTCGAGTTTGTTTCTCTCCGATGCGTGGATTTCTCCGTGGCCTCTGCCTGGGGAATCTGGCATCGGGGGCTTCTGCACGCGGTGGACCTGGACATGTTGCGAGGGCCTCACGGCCGGTGCCGCCGACCCTGAAGACGGCGACGACGGTAAAACAGGGCTAGGATCGGGATAAATCGCTCCAGAGCGTTCTGGGGCGCTCTCAGAGCGTTCCGGAACGCTCTGAGAGCGGCCGCGGCGCCCAATGCATCCTCCAAACCTGCCGATTCTCAAAGATTTCGAGTTATCCCGATCCGATGTTGTCCCGATCTTCGTGTCGTTTTAGTCTCTCGCCATGGGGGAAAATGGGGTCCGGAGGGAAACACGGGTCCTGAAGTTGTTTGCCGTGGTCGGGCTCTCGGGGCCTGGGGCCGTCGGAGCACGACTCCGGACGAAGAACTCGTCCTTCAGGAGGAGAACAAAAGCACACAGACACTATGAATCGTCGATTCCCCAGAAAAGATGGGAAAATGGTGGGAGCGGGGGGGAAGACACAAACCCAGAAGACCTGGGAAAATCTGGGGAATCTTTCTATTTGTGTGTATTTAGTTGTGTGTCCCAGGGCCCCTTCCGTCCTGGGGGCAGGGCCCCGGGGTCCAGGACGCGTTGCCCTCAGGACCCGTGCCCCCCCCTGCTAAACCCCCCGCGGGGCCATGGTATCCCAGCCCCACGATTCCACCACCTCAGTTGGAGGAGGGAGCATGGAGGAGGGAGGAGGAGTAGGAGGAGGAGGAGGAGGAGCAGGAGGAGGAGCAGGAGGAGGAGCAGGAGGAGGAGGAGGAGGAGGAGGAGGAGGAGGAGGAAGAGGAGGAGGGAGGAGGAGGAGGAGGAGGAGGAGGAGGAGGAGGAGGAGGAGGAGGAGGCCCTCGAAACCCGACGGGAAGGGCCTGTGCCCCCGTCTGGGAGGGGACCTCGGCCAGCGGGCCCAAGGCCACGCCAGTGGGGATGGGGATCGGTTAGACGATGCGCACACGCGGACAGCGCACGAGGACGGACAGGTCCTGTGCATTCGCGGGCATCCAAAGCCTAGAGAAAGCAAAGAAGACCTTGAGATCCTGGTGCGACATGTTTTTCGATTTGGGCGTTTTCGCATAGTTTCAGGCCCCAGGACCCTCACAGTACCACATGATGATGGGGTCTCGGGCTCTGTTCATGATTGTTCACGGTGTCGCCGTCTTTTACGCTGTCGGATCTCATTGGACGATCTCTCTTCGCTCTCGGCCTCTGGGGGCCCTCGCCGGGCCCCGGGACCTGCCCCGCAAACCATCCGGTGCGAAACGCCGGTCCTGGGGAGCGGGCCCAGAGCTGCTGGGACGAGGAGGAGGAGGAGGAGGAGGAGGAGGAGGAGGAGGGAGGAGGAGGAGGACCCGTACGGAAAAGGTCTCAGACCTCGGAGGTCTGGGGCCCGGGCTGCGTGGAGCACCACGGGCACCGACGTCGCTGCCCCCTGGCTTCGTTGTGGGGCCCCCCGCAGGAGGCCCAGCAGAGGGGCGAGAGATCTGGGAGGTGGTGCGCGGCGAGCTCGCGCCGTGCCGACGGGCGGCGCCGCCGCCGCTGGCGTTCACGGTGGAACGTCGCCAGTGGACCAGACTCGGCCTACGGTTGGCGCTGTAATGCGGGATGACGGTTAATAAAAATTGGAGAGAACGATTAAAGCAATAGTTTTCTGCCATTTCTGCACAAGTTTCTGACTGGAGGAGAAGGATGAAAAGAATACTTTTCCAGCCCGCGGCCGGTTTTTTCGAATCGTCATCCCGGGCGCCGCCGCGTGAACACGACCCCCGGTCATTTATTGATCGTCATCCTCCATTACGGTTGGCGCTGTAAAGATAGCGGCCGTCGTTGCGCCGCTGGCCCGACAGTTGCACGCTGCCCCCCCCCCCCCCACCCTGGGGATGGCGCGCACCGAGGAAGCCGTGGCAAGGGGATGGCTTGCGCAGAAGGGTCCATCGCGGGGGGATCGCCGCACAGGGATGGGGTGCTTGTCGGAGATCGATGTTGCACGCTATCTCTCCAACGCCAACCGTACAGTGAACGATCTGGCGATCGAAGGGCCACCGATCAACCAGGGTTGAACGATCCACCTGCTGTCAGACACCAACGCTGAGGTCGCCGGTGTGTGTGTGTGTGTGTATTGTCTCCTCGGTCTTTGTGCGAGGGCCGGGGCGGACACTGAGGTCTATCGATCGCCGTCCCGGGCCTCGGCGGCCCCGCGGCCCCGAGGTAGCGGCTTCGGCGCGCGGGGCATACCCCTGGGATCCAGTGCGGGTGTTCCTGCTGGGGGACGGCACGGAAGCCCAACGCACCCTACGGTCGGGAAAATTTTGAGGAGCGCGTCGCGCCTCTGGTTCTGGCCCGCCGCGTTTCGGCGCGACGCGCTAGCCACGCTCCAGTCACATCCCGACATCCCGAGCTTCTCCCAGCCACCCGTCCTAGCGGAGGTTCGGCACGCTGCGACACGCTCGCAGCTCACGCGCAGCGTGCCGTAGGGGCCGCCGCCGCAGCGATTCGAGCAGCAGTTCCTGGCCGTCTGCGCTCGGAGCCACCCGGGCGGGAGCGAGGGCAAGACTGGGCCTCGGTGGCGCCAGAAAGCGGCAAGGAGGAGGGAGGATGAGGAAGGAGGAGGGGGAGGAAGGAGGAAGGAGGAAGGAGGAAGGAGGAAGGAGGAAGGAGGAAGGAGGAGGAAGGAGGAGGAGGAGGAGGAGGAGGAGGAGGAGGAGGACCCTGTCACCTTCATGCCATATTCTAAGCAAGGGGCTCCCGTGGCGACGCAGTCGCGGGGGATCCTTGTATGGGTTGCGCTCGATTCCTTCATGACAGCAGAGAGGCGCGTTTCACCCATGAGTCGACTGTGAAGGTTTCCGCGAGAGTGCCCACGGCAGGCTGAGAGGCAGCCTCCTGGAGGTTTGGAGCCACCTTGGAGCGCTCTTGGGCCAACGCTGTGAGCCCTCCGTGGGCTCTGGGCCCAGTGTGGAGGCCTCCGTGGACTTCCAAGGCCGAGCCGGGGATCAGTTGGTGAACTCGTGCCCCACGGTGGGGCGGTCTCCGGGTGATGTTTGGGAGCCTCTCCTCCTCCTCCTCCTCCTCCTCCTCCTCCTCCTCCTCCTCCTCCTCCTCCTGTGGGGCTCCCCCGGGCCTCTCTCGGGGCGATCTCGGGCCAGCTGTAGGCGATCTCGAGGTCCCAGAGCGCCGTCGGAGGCAAAAGGGGCGAAGTGCAACAGGAAGTGGAGCTCGTGGAATGCTCGGCGAATGGTGGCCTCTGGAGGGGAAGCGTGGGAGCATCCGTGGACGCCTCGGCCCATCCTGTGTTGTGATTGAGGCCCTGTGGAGTCACGCTCGCGCTGGAGGCCATCGTGAACCAACTTACGCCATCTTGGAGGTGGTTCGGGCCAACTTGGTACAGTCTTGGAGCCACGCAGGGCCCAGCTTCTGACACCTCGCGGTGGGGCGGGGCAGTCCAGACCCAGGGGAGGGATTTCAGCTGACAAGGCGTGCGGACTCTCAAGACGGCCGAAGACCAGCATACAATACGATGCAAATCTAGACCAGACGATATCAGACAAGACGACACAAGGGAGAGACACCACGACAGCTCCAGGTCGGCTCTATTAGATAGCCCCAAGAGGGCCCCCAGGAGACCCACACCCTTCAAACACATCAAGCAAACCAATGTTGTTTGCCTTCTCTCAGTTTCGCTCCCGACGGGCTGGTAAGGCCTCAAGATGGCTTCAAGATGGCCCAACAGGGAGGGAGAGAGAGAGAGAGAGAGAGATAGAGAGAGAGAGAGAGAGACCCTGAAGGGTACCCCAAGATGGCATCAGGAGGCTTCCAAATTCTTGCAAATTTAGAGCAAGGCCAGAGTCCAGCGTTCTGAGTGCCAAAGCGCCCTAATGGGCCCCCGGGAGGCTCCCGAGAGGCCCCCCGGGAGGCTTTGCCAGGCGGGGGGGGGGAGTACCCCGGCGTGTTTCCCCCTGACATGGGCGGGCGGACCCCTCGATTCAACCAGGGCCCGAGATGCCCCCGAGAGGCCCCGGCGGGGGGGGGGGAGTTTGCTGGCGTGAGGGGTAAAACGCCAGTCGTTGGAAGTACAGTCGGGGCGCTGAAGAAGGAACCCTTTTCATTGGGGAGGGGCTCGGTGTTCCTTGACTATTTCACAGTCTGTCTCAGGTGTTCCTGAGGTTTCCCATGGGAAATCGAACCTTAACTTATGGGAAAAAGAGGCCTCGTTCCTTATTTTGTGTTCCTTAGGTCAACGCCCCGACTGTAGGTCTTTCTAGATATCCAGGTTGTGATCTACTGCATGCGCATTCCTGCTTCAGCAGTCGAGCGGTGGTCCCTCTTCCCTCGTCCTCAGGGGGGCGAGCGGAGACCCAATCTACTTCCAACGCCTTCCTATTAATGTTTCTACCTCAAAGACCTTACCTTCCAATCTATCGGTTTCTTGTGCCTACAAGGGACCAACCATTCGATCCTTTTTTACCCTTCTACCTCCAAGCACCTCCGACCGACGGGTAAACCCCTCCCAGGAGGGGAAGAACGACGTGCGCTGGGAGGACTGGTGGGACTCCTCTGGCTCTCGCCGTTCTAATTGTATGCGCCGCCTCGCGGAGGCAGGGGACTGCAGCAGCGAACGAAAGAGGCATCCAGCATGGCCTGGCTAATTTGAATTTGCGTCGCGCTCTTCTTCCGCCTCCTGCTCCACGAAAGATACACTCGCCATGGGGAAAGGGGTCCTGAGGGAAACAGGTCCTGAGGCTTGTTCCCGTTTTGGGCTTCCCGTGGCCCTCCACGGACCCCGCGGCCGTCAGAAAACGATTCAGGATGAAGAACTCGTCCTGGGGGAAGGCCTCAGTATCCAGGACACGTTTCCCTCAGGACCCGTCTCCCCCATGCGAATGCATCTTGAGCCCCGTTCCAAGGCCTCCGAGGCCATGATCTTCTTGAGCCGCCAGCCCGTTGAGCTCTCGGCACCTTCCCTGGGTCCTCTGCGTTCGATCCTGCGCAGCTTGCTGCCGGCTCCGGGGCCCCGAAGCGGGCCTCCATTGGCCCACGTCTGCGAGAATGTGCCGCCACGAGGCTCTCGCGACGCCGCGTGCCTGGGTGCCTCCTCTGCCTCCTCGCTCCGCCCCGCCCCGCCACGGAGGGGATCGATGGGCAACGCCCTGCCCTCGACGCAGAAGATCGTGCACCGCGCTCGGTGGCGGGCGGAGCGGTGCCTCGAGATTCCACGTCGTGGAGAATCACGGCCTGGCGAGAAGCTCACTGTCACAGAGGTGCCCTCGGCACCATCTCGCGGTTGCACTTCGCAGGCCAGGTCCGTCCTCGAGGGCCCTGGTGCCCGACGCCACGCCGAAAACGCCTGCCCTGAAGCCGTCTTCCACGACGCCAGAGTCTCGGGGCCGCCACGGGAAGTGGGGTGCGCTGCGGGGTGCACGCCGTCTCCTCTGGGCCTCGCGCGGGGGCTGCACCGAAGCGCGGGAAGGGTGGTAGGGGGGAGCGAGGCGACGAGAGTCGCAGACTCGGGGGGGTGACCTTGCACCTTCTCGAGCAGGGGTATAAGTGGCAGCCTCTCAATGCTCATTCGCTCAGGACTGAAGGCGGAGGACCCCCGGGACCTGAGGGCACTCCAGCTCGTGCCTCGCGGCACGGTGGCGGAAAAGCGCTATATACCAGCAGTCCAGACCGGGTGGACGAAGACAGGATGGCCTGGAGCGCGAACGACAGAGCCAGAGTACTGAAGTCGTAGACGGCCCATCGCCCCCACTCTCGGAGTTCCCCCCCGAAACAACAAGCCTTTCAGGAAAGAAAGGGGGAACTCGGGAATACACCCCTGGTGGGCTGGCTATCGAGGATGGACGCCCCCCCCCCCTCGTGTATCCCCGGGTTTGACTTCACGTTGGTGGTCCAGTCGGAAACCCCACCGGGTCGAGATCGGGGTCGCCATATCCCCCGTTAAGGGGACGAGGAGGGGAGGGTGCATGCAAGTCCGCTGGCCGGCGGCTCCGCAGGGCCCTTGGGTCCAGCGCGTGGCGTGCCAGAGCCAAGCCAGAGGCCGACGTACTCGAGGAAGTCGCCCTCGGAGGTTCCCACCGTACGCCCGCACACCGGTCGTGGCCGAGCTGCTGCTGGACCCAGGGATCGGTGTGCATGCCTTCGCTGCTCGTCCTTGTCACTCGTCGGCCGAGGGCACGAGAGCTCGAGCGGGGTGACCGGCGCGTGTGCCGAGCACGCCCCGCGCCCGTGCGAGCGGGGTGTTTGAGGTATTTGATGGTCCAGAGGTGCCGAGCTACGCCCAAATACCGAGCGTCACCCCGAGCAGAGTTGACACCCTGCCCGACACAACGCCCAACCGAGACAGGTTTCACATCCTCCATCGTCCACCCACGTGGGCCGGGCGTCTTGGTGGCCAGGGGTATACCAACGTCGAGGTTCGAGGTTCGAGGATCGACGTCTCTAGAAGTGTTGGGCTCTTCTTGCCCACCCGACAGGCGCGGCTTGTTGGATTCGCCCGCCCTGCTTACCGCGGCCGCCAGGCCCCGTGGGTCCTCAGATGTCCCGCCTCGACCGTCTTGCAGATCGCAACCGCCAGGCCCAAGAGATTCCCCAGAGGCCAACGACGACAGAATGAGCAATCCTGTAGAGCACGGGCACCTAACAAACACCCCCTACCAGGGAGGCGTCACGACGTCACACCGTCCACAGACATCTAGGACAGGCATCGAGAACATGCACCGATAGCGTGCGTTAGTATCCAGCCTTGGTAAGATACCATCCGAGCCTACACCAACTGAACATGCACCAAAAACACACACCACTAACACAACTCAAACACCTCTTTCACGACTAGGCATCAATAACAGACCAGGACCAGGCTTCAACCACGTAAAGCAAGAACGTGCGCCTAGACCATGCAATGATAACACCCGCTGGCAACATGCCAACATTATGCACCATTCACATCTACCACTAACGCGCGGCAATGCCAGACACCACGACTCGTTGCCAACGACGTGCACCAATACTCACGCCCAGTACATACACCAATCACACACCAAGAGCCTACAACGCTAGCACACACCAAGAGCTGTCACATTGGACGCATTCCAGCACCATACACCAATGACAGACGCCTGGGACAGGCACCACTATCATGCACCGACCGAGCGCAGACGTACACCAGTGCCAGACACCAACGAGAAGAGCACAAACGAACGCACGCCATGAACGGATCAAGACCAGGCGCAAACATCACACATCCGTAACAATCCGTACAACCCACCATCCACAGTCACCATCAGCAGGCAACAACACACAATATGAACATGCATCCAAGACACCAAATTTCTTCATTGGGAGGCGGCACCGATAACATACACCAATACCGAATACGCGATCATGTCAGACGCCCAGAGCATACATCAACACTGCGCTCTTCCCTTCTGCCACCTCGTCCTCCTCCTTCTCTACCTTGTCCTCCTTTACCTCCTCCTTTACCTCCTCCTTTACCTCCTCCTCCTCCTCCTCCTCCTCCTCCTCCTCATTCTACCCCCTCCCCAAACCCTCTCGTCCTCCAAGGACCCACCGAGCCTGGTACAAAAGAATAACGGAGATGAGGGGCCAGGGAGCCAAGGAGGATGGGGCAGGGCGGGGGGGGAGAAGGGCGAGGAAGCCAGATGAGGCAGGAGGATGGAGGAGACATTAACAAGAGAGGGAGATGAGGAAGAGGAGGAGGAGGAAGAGGAGGAATGAGGCAGGCGTGAGTGGGAGGAAGAGGAGGGAGGACAAATGATGGCGTGAGGAGGAGGAGGGAGGACGAACGATGACATGTGGAACGTTCAGGGTGGAGGATGGTGGAGCTAGGGGGATAGCAGACGGGGTTAGGAGGGAAGCTCAAGCAGGTCGCGGCGCACCCCCTTGTGGGGGGTGGCAGTCAGAAGCAAAGGGATGGATGAGGGAGCGACGCAAACGGAGAAACGCGGAGAGAAAACCAGAGGGGGTAGGGAGGAGGAACAGGAGGAGGAGTGGTAGGAGGAGAAGGAGGAGGAGTCGGCCAACGGGAGCAGGTCGGGAAAGCGATACGGGGGGGAGGGAGGGTGACGTGGGAGGGAGGCGGGAGGGGGCCGGGACCGCCCGACAAAACAACTCCACAGTACGTTGGGGAGGTGTTCCCGAGGTTTCGACAGCGCCTCGGCAACGCCGTCCATGCGCCGTCGGGGCGTCGTCGGAGTCTCGTCGAGCGCTGTTGGAAATTGGGCCGGAGGTCCCTGCCCCCCCCTCCTCCCCGCCTCCTCCCTCATCCCTGCCCCCCCCCCCCCCGCCCCCCCCCCCCCCCGGGCCGAAGAGTGACATCGATCCATCGATCGACCGACGACGGCAATTGTGACCTTGGCTGCCACAGCGGCGACGACGACGACGACGACGACAACGACGACGACAGCGACGACGACAGCGACGACAGCGACGACAGCGACGACGACGACGACGACGTCGACAGCGACGACAGCGACGACGACGACGACGACGACGTCGACAGCGACGACGACAGCGACGACGATGACGACGACGAGGATTCGCCGAGGTGCGGGCACACGGACGTTAAGCACCTCCGGGCCAGCCTGCTGTGCGACCGGCTGTCTCAGCCCACCGCCGACATGGTGGAGGCCCTGCTGGCGCTGCAAGACCTGACCGTGAAGCCGCGCGGGGCCGAACCTCGCGGCTCGACGCTCGAGGTTTCGAGGTCCTCGGGTGTCTGGGTGCCTCTCCGTGGACCTCTCGGAGGCCTGCTTCGTCGCAGGGGCCGGGCCCGCCTCGATGTTCTGTCTGGAGCACGCCCTGGGCAGGTCTGCAAGCCGATGTTTGACTTGCGAGGCCACGGCAAGTTGAATATTCGCACCAGGGGGGGGGGGGGGGGGCGCACCTGGAACCTATGCCGTGCCTGGTCGGCGGCGCGCGCAGAAGGGTGACGCATGGGGGCCGGGCTTCTGAGCTGTCGAGGATGTGATCGGGCGGGCCCCGAACTGGGAGGCCAAGTTTAAGAGCGTTCCAGAGCAGAGATTTCGGAGCGCTCTGGGACGGCCGCGGCGCCCGACACATGCTCCAGAATCGCCAGATCTCAGAGATGCCCGATGTATCCTGGTCCGATGCTGCTCTGCTCCGGGCCTCGTCTTATCAGAGGGCAGGGGTCTTCGCAGGATTCATTTCTAATTCTTCGGAAGTTCTTTCATTTTTTGGGGGGCCAAGATCCTATCATTTCTAATTCTTCTATCCTGGGCCTCTTCCTGGCCACTGGGGGGCCAGGAACAATTAGAAGCGAGCACAATCAAATTAAAAACGAGCACGATTAGAAATGAACGACGTGTACTCAGAGGCTCAGAAGCCATCGTGGCCTCTGGGAGGCGTTCCGCGGAAGCCGCCGTGCCTCCGAGGGGTAGCGCCTGCTCTCAAAGCAGGCCCCCCCCCTCTCCTCCTCCAAGGGCGCCTCATGCGCTCTGCCCGTTGGAGCGTGCCGTTCTCGGAGGGGGGAGGATCGACACCAACACCACCAGGGGGGCCACCTCCAGCGAGGAGGTCCCCGATGCCTCCCTGACCTGGAGGCTGGGCATGTCTCGAGCGAGAGGGGGGGGCCACACCACCAGGGAGGCCCCTCCTTGTTCCTCCCATCTCCTCGCCCTGGTGGTGTTGGTGTCGCCTTTCACTTGTCCTAAGATGGAGGTAGGGATGGGCCTCCACTCGGACTCGTCGCGGCCAGTTGTTCCTCCGCTGGAGCCTCAGCTCTGTGGTGGCCGGAGATCTACAGCAAAATCAGGGGGGAGAGCGCAGTCCTGGGAATGGGGTCGATAGGTCTGTTAGCCAAAGTCACAGAGATATGTTTGGGCAGGGAGGGAACGGGGGATCTTGCCAGGAAGGGTGGGCGGAAGGGAATGGGCGGGGATGAGGCGACGGGAGGGAGGGAGGGAGTGAAGGAGGTTGTGGGAGGGAGGGGGCGGGGAGGGAGGGGGAGAGGTGGAATGGAAAATTGGATAGGAAATCGGGAGAGTGACAGGGCAAGCGCTGTGTATGGCATGTATCTTCGTGGTCAGACAGTGCCAAAGCTGCGTTGCGCGTTTGGGAGGGTCCTGGTGCTACCCCAGAACAGCTCGATGGCTCCTAGGTTGTCGCAGGACGCCCCGCGGTGGAATCCTGAGGCCTTCTCTCGGGAAGCTCAGCAAGCGATCAGCAGCTGGCTTCTCGGGTGCCTTCGGGCGGATGCATGGCAACAAGAGGCCTGGGAAGGTCGAGGCGATGTAGCGTCGAAAGGCGGTGTGGTGCCACGCCTCCGTGGCCACGACATGCTTGCCGTGGCCCTCGGCCGAGGCTCGACAGTATCACAGGTCCAGAACACTCCCCGCCATTGTGCGCAGCGGTCATTTCCCTCCTCGTCCCCCCTCCTCCCCTCCTTTCCTCCCTCCCCTCCTGCCCGTCCAGCCCCCTCCGATGTGGTGACGTTAACCTGGCCGGCCACTGCTGCGCGCTGCCGCTTTCGCGCTCGAGCCCGCTCTCGTTGGACGCGGTCATAGCCCCCATGAGGGGAGGCGGGTCCAGAACACTTTTTCCGCGTCTACGTCGCTATCCCTGTTCAGTTGACAGGTTCTCTCCCGGGGGCTGTGTCCGGCGCCGTCACCAGAATTGGGCTATCGGTGACAGGCGTCGTCGCTAGCTCTGGGCTGCTGTGGACGGTGCTGTTTCTGGGGGGTCGTCACCAGCATTGGGATTGTGCAGTCGTTGCCTGCCCTGGTTGATGGGAGTAGTGGCATAGTGTGAGCGCATCAATATTGAATTGGTCACCCGAGGGGCGGCTGGCGATTATGCGCGTCGTCGACATTTGCGCGGGGCCTAATGGTTTCACCGCGAGCGCCAACGTTTCCCGAAGGGCGAAGTCAAGGTGCTGGCCTGTAGGGCTCGTGCGATAAAATCCGACTTACCAGTGTGTCGCACAAGTTAAGGTTGCTGCCAGTGCGGGCGCAAGTGGGGCCAGACGAAATGGTATTGTAGTGGCCTTCGGCCAGTGCCGCCGATCCGGGTCGCTCGGGGTTATTCTCCAGACGCAGAAATTATGGGCGCACACTCAAACGCACACACACAGTCACACCACTTAACCTGCGCCGCAGACATGCGCACACAGCATCACCCACACACACATACTAGTTGGGAAACGCTCCTGTAGTACTAGTAGTAGTATTAGTAGTAGTAGTAGTAGTAGTAGTAGTAGCAGTAGTAGTAGTAGTAGTAGTAGTAGTAGTGGTAGTAGTAGTAGTAGTAGTGGTTGTGGTAGTAGTGGTAGTAGTAGTAGAGGCCTCGTTCCGCGGCTTCTCTCGACTTCCCGCGGTCTCTCTCAAGTTTCGAGCACGCGGTGAGTTTCACGATATATGTGTGTGTATGTACGCGTGCATGCATGTATGCATGCATTGATCATGTGTGCCTGTGTGTAGGTACGTATGTATGTATGTATGCTTGTGCGCGTATGTATGTATTTAGTTTGTATGTATGTTTGTATGTGTGTATGATAATATGTGTGTATGTGTGTGAATGTAAGTATGTATGTCTGGAAGATTGTTTTTCTATGTATGCAAATGTGTTTAAATGTAGGTATGTATGCATGTGTGTATGGATGTGCGTTTGAAGAGCGAGGATGTTTCAAAGAAGAGGCACTCGGTGACGCGATCGTTGAGGGATAGGAGTGAGGTCGCAGAGGAGGAGGAGGAGAATGAGGAAGAGGCGATAACTTGAAGGAAAACGATGAGACGGAGGACATCCTGCCGGTGGCGCCCTGGGCGGTGCCGCGGAAGAAACCGGGGGCCTGCCGGAGGCAGTCTGGAGGCCTCTGGGGAGCTGTTTTGGGGCCTCTTGGAACCTCTTTTGGGCCTCTTGTGGGCTTCTTGGGGCCCCTTGGGGGTCTCTTGGGGCCTCCTGGGGGCCTCTTGGGGCGGAAAGCTCGGTTCTTTCGGTTCGTGGTCCCCCTCTTGGGCCCCTCTTGGGGCTCTCTTGGGGCCTTCTTGGGCTGTCCAGAGGCCCTCTTGGGCCGTCTTGGGGCCCTCTTGGGCCGTCTTGGGGCTCTCTTGGGCCGTGTTGGAAGCATCGTGGGCCGTCTTGGGACGGACTTGGGGGCCTCTTGGGCCGTCTTCGAGCGTCGGACGCCCGAAAAGGCAAGAACGCTAAAAACCCTGAGAAAACCAATGAAAATCAACGATTCTGGCCTCTTGGGGCCCTCTTGGGAGGCCTCTTGGAAGCTTCTTGGGGCGTCTTGGAGACACCTTGGGCCGTCTGGAGGCCATCTCGGGCGTCTTGGAGCGATTTTTCGGCGACTCGGGGCCCTCTTGGAACCCCTTGGGGGTCTCTTGGGCCCCCCCCCTCCTCCAAAGCGCCGGAAAAAGCGGAGCATGGCGCCCCCCCCCCCCCTATCTTCCACTCCCCCGGAGCGGCCCCGGGGTTCGCCGGAAACTCGCACCCCCCCCCCCCCCCCCCACCCCCCCTTCCCCGGCAGAGCCACCCCGGCGACCCCCCCAGAGGCTGAAGCTCAGCCTCGAGGCTGTAGCTGAGACTCCTTGAAACTCACACGCCGGATCGGCGGATTATAGTAGGTGCCCAGGAGGGCGCGGAGTCATTAAGAAGGCAGCCGACGGGAGTAGAGGGACGCAGGACCATACCATGTATGAGCATCACATACAAAGAGAGGGCCGAATAAGAGAGACCAACAGATTGCACGTACAAGCTAGCAGCTAAACGAGATGAAAGCGTGCTGGCACAGTGTTCGACGTTGGTCCCCGTGGGCTTGGGCCCCCCAGGGTAAGTCAGGCAGCTGTAAGCTGGTGAGGCTTTAGCGCAGGTTGTACTCTACTCATCTCGCCGCTCTTCCATTCCACCCATCACCCCCGGAGTGCCTGCAGGCTCGCACGGTAGCAGGTCTCGAAATGAATGGGGCTAACGTGGGTAGTGTAGGCTAGCGCAGCCTGCAGGCTGGATCGAGCGCCAACGCTGCCGCCACCTCCAGCGCCTGGGGCCGAGTCGTGAAGCCCACCTCGCCCGCCAGGTGCCGCAGGCAGCGCCTGCTGTCTGCAGGGTGCGGGGTCTACGGTGCACCGTCTGTTGGGTGTCGCAAGCAGCGCTCCCATGATTGTCAAGTGGCGCAGCCAGGGGTAATCATTTATTGGGTGCCGCATCCAGGGTCACATGGCCGTTGGGTGTCCACAGGAATGGAGCTGGGCGCCGCAAAGTATGATGAAAGTGGTTTCCAATCGGTACCCTCCTCCTCGTCAGGGGGGAGGGCCCTGCAGGAGCTGATCCCCCGAGCAACTTCAGTGTGGAGTGTGGGTCGTAGGGGGGCTGTGAGGGGCGGAGGGAGGGTGCGCGGAGGGGAAGGGTTGGAGCAGAGAGAGAGAGAGAGAGGATGATTCAAAGAGCAGGCGAGTGAGAGAGAGAGGGGGCTCACGAAGTGGTACGGTCGCTGCGATGCTCGACCCCCGCTGTCTCCCTCCACCTACAACACACGGCTTGGCGAAGGGCCCAGCCCACTGCAGCTGCGAGAAGCGCCAGGCACGTCTGAGGGCACGACACGTCTGAGGGGGAAGGCCACGACACGTCTGAGGGCACGACACGTCTGAGGGGCAGCGGGGAAGGGAGGGGCGCCACACGTCCGATGGGGGCACGCGCGAGGGGTGGTGCCGACACGGGCTCGGGCGGCGGCGTGCGGCCCCTGCCCCCCCCCCCCCGGAGGCCACAGGTGCAGGCCCCTTTGCGGGGCCGCGAGCTCGAGGGGCCGAGGCGGTGGCACGCGGGCCCTGCCACCGGGGGCGCTTTCGGGAGGGCTCCTCTCCCAGGGGCCTCGTCGCTGGCCTGAAAATCTTCACTACGGGGGGTCAGAAACCAGAGGATCCCTCCCCCTCCCCTGGAAAAAACTCCGAAGGAGGGGGCCAGAAACCAGGGGCGGCGGCGTGCGGGCCCTGCCCCTTACACAGGGCCTCGCGAGACGTGCGAGGCGCGTGTGCCGGGAGGGGCTGGGCGGCAGTGTACGGGCCTTGCCACTGGGGCCGTCGGCGGAGTGCACTGTGGGGCCATGGGGCGTGTGAGAGCGTGTGCCGACGCGGTCGGGGACGGCGGCGTGCGGACCATGCCACCGGTGGAGCTCCCACTATGGAGCCACGCAGCGTGTGGGTGGTGCGCCAGACTGGTCGGGGCGGCGGCATGCAGACCCTGCCGCTGGGCCTTTGGTGGAGCTCCCTGTGGGGCCACGGAGTGAGGGCGTGTGCCGATATTGTTGAGGGGGTGGCATGCAGACCCTGCCACTGGGACCTTCGGTGAAGCGCCCGACGGGGCTTCGAAGCGTGTGAGGGCGTGTGCCGAAAAGGTCGGGGCGGTGGCGTGCGGACCCTGCCACTGGGGCCGTTGGTGGAGCTCCCATGGGGCCACGAAGCGCGTGCGTGGTGTGGCAAAGCAGACATGCGGAAGCCTGAGGCAACTGGGGGAGGAGGATACGGCGAGCAGGGGGGGAGTGGGAGGAGGAAGGAGTAACGGAATGGAACAAGAGTTGGGAGGGAGGGATGGGAGGAGGGAAGAGGGACATAATGAAGACAATGAAAAGAGGACGAGGTGGAGGAGGAGGAGGAGGAGGAGGAAGAGGAGGAGGAGGAGGAGGAGGAATAGGAGGGGCGCGACGCTGCGGACTCAAAACGCGGGTCCAACGCACAGAAGGGTTGAGAAAAGGGAGGAGGAGGACGAGGAGGAAGGGGGCGGATGAGGGGGAGGGAGGAGAGGAGGAGGGAGAAGCGCGGCGCTGCGAACGCAGGATGGCGTCGGGGGAAAAAACACGATCTGCCAT